ATTAGAAATATTTTTATAATATTTCCCAAGGAAGGTACTCTCCTCCCTCTCCACTTGCTAAACTGTGACCATGAAAAGAGGAATAAATCATCATCCATACCTTCAAGTTGCTCACAGTATAAAAGGGAGATAGAGATAGACAGGACCACCTCTAGAGTATAGAGCAGATGGCAGGTGTAAAATGGATACATAAACAGCATGCCCCGGAAAGAAGAAGGAAAAAGTTTGACTAGGGGCAGCAAGAAAGGTGTTAAAAGGTGATCCTGTTTAGCTGGATTGTAATTAAAGGGCAAGATATAAATAGGTGAAAAAGCCCATTTTAGGAAGAGAAAATGAAGAAAGATAGGGGATATGAACGTGCAAAGATGTTTCTGGTAAACAATAGCTCATAGAATAAGAAGGAAGGGTGATTAGAAAAGGGAGGATAGGATCAGGTTGTAAAGCCTTGAATGCCAAGCTAGGGATTTTATTTTGTACGCAGTGGGAGCCACGGAAGTCTTTTATACTAGGGAGTGATGCCATCAGAACTGTGCTTTAGTAAGGTAAACACGGAAGGAAATCAAAGATGAATTGGCAGAGGTCAGAGACTGAAGACTAGGTGAATAATTAGAAAGTTATTGCAGTAATCAGGTGAGAGAGAATGAGGGCCTGAACTAGAATCAGGTTCTGGGAGTGGGAAGGAAGGAGATAATAGATTTGAATAAGATTTTGGAACTAGGAAAAAAAATCAAAGTGTTTCATTTGAATTCATAGGTCTACAAATACTAAGCCATCCCTAGTTGGAACACCTTGTGTGTCTAATATTGAGGCATTAAAAGTCTAGTGAGGGGCCGGGCGTGGTGGCTCACGCCTGTAATCCTAGCACTCTGGGAGGCCGAGGAGGGTGGATCGCTCAAGGTCAGGAGTTTGAGACTAGCCTAAGCAAGAGGGAGATCCCGTCTCTACCAAAATAGTGAAAATTAGCCGGGCATGGTGGCACATGCCTGTAGTCCCAGCTACTCGGCAGGCTGAGGCAGTAGGATTGCTTGAGCTCAGGAGTTTGAGGTTGCTGTGAGCTGGGCTGATGCCACGGCACTCTAGCCCAGGCAACAGAGTGAGACTCTGTCTCAAAAAAAAAAAAAAAATCTAGTGAGGGAGACAAAAACATGAGAAAAAAGTATAAATGTATTCAAAGAAGATGTAGAGCCAGGAATAGTAAACAGCTCTAGGAAATGAGACATAAAGTAATCACCACATGGAGTAGGCAGAGGTAGCCCTGGATTATCTATGAATAGTTCTGTGAAGTAGATGATTAGTTGGCATCTGAAAACAAGAAACAACTTTCTTTATAGAAAGAAAGGGGGCAACAGCCTTTGGGTGAAGAGTGTACACATGCTTTCCTGTCAACATAATTTATTTACAAGGGAATTATTCTCGCCAGGCATGGTGGCTCACACCTGCAATACTAGCTCTTTGGGAAGCCAAGGCAGGAGAATCCCTTGAGCCCAGGAATTTGAAACCAGCCTGGGCAATATAGCAAGTGAGACCTTGTTGCTACAAAAAAAGGGAGGGGGGGTGGAATTATTCAGATTCATCCAAGAAATTTTGATTCTGGGGACTATGTAGCCCAAAGATGGCAGAGAAAGAAGAAAGTACATAAAACAAAGTAGAAGGTGATCTTTATATCCCAAGACTAAATCATGAGTCCTTTAGCATTGGTATATTTTGTCAGAACGCAATATTATTCTCTTTAACATTAGCGAGAGCAAAGATGATGGGGAAATGGGAATTGCACTAAAGAGAAAAAAATAAAGGGCTGACACTGTCCTGCTGGTGTGATAAATTCTTGTTAATGATAAGGACAAGGTCTTAGCTACATACCAAATAGTCATGGTGAAAACAATAGCGGTTCTGGTGGTTTCTATTTACATTCACTCTGAACTTTTTATAATAGAATATCTTAAAACTTAATAGAAATTTAACTATATCAAAAGATTCAAATATAAACATTCTATGGCAAGCATTTTTATCATACAGCATAAACATTTAAAAAAAATATATATTGCTGTCAAGTAAAGGTATACTACCTGGGTGAGAGTCAAAGTCTTGCCTGCAAAACCAAGTAAGAATACCTACAATAGATATGAGAACTCTATCTTAATTCATGCTTCATAATTTTGTTATATCCTTCTCTGTATTTCAGTTTAACTTTATGTAATACTAAAATCTTTATGAGATAGATGCTCTATAAAAGTAAAATATGGCCTCATTTTTAATGGAATTTTGATAAAAGTAGTAGGGAAACAAAATATATAGTCTTAGCCTTGGACATTTTACCTTTGACAAGTAACTTAAGTTTATAATTTATCATATTGGGTTGAGTTAAATCATTGATTCAACTACTTTTACAGTAAGGTCAAAGAACTTTATCTTTAGAAATACACCTAAGTGGCGGGCGCGGTGGCTCACACCTGTAATCCTAGCTCTCTGGGAGGCCGAGGCAGGCGGATTGTTTGAGCTCAGGAGTTCGAGACCAGCCTGAGCAAGAGCAAGACCCCGTCTCTACCAAAAAAATAGAAAGAAATTAATTGCACAGCTAAAAATATATAGAAAAAATTAGCCGGGCATGGTGGCGCATGCCTGTAGTCCCAGCTACTCAGGAGGCTGAGGCAGAAGGATTGCTTCAGCCCAGGAGTTTGAGGTTGCTGTGAGCTAGGCTGACGCCACGGCACTCACTCTAGCCCAGGCAACAAAGCGAGACTCTGTCTCAAAAAAAAAAAAAAAAAAAACAAACGTGCATGAACCTGATTATTTGGCATTTGCTCATTCCCAGGGCAGCTGTGGGTTATAAGAGGTCGTTCCCTTTTCCGGTCCTTATACAAATCTTTGAGGAGATCTGATGATCCTCGAGATGCCACAGGTTCTGGTCAAAACCAGTGAGTTCAGTAGCTACTTGGTAATAAATTCTTTGGATTTATTTCACTTAAATGATCACTACGAGGCAACAAGAAATTGGTTTTCCCTTTTTAGGTAGCCAATTTTAATAATAAAGGTAATTTTTTGGCACTTATTCAACATGTAGTATCTGATGTGCCTAATAGACAGTAACTATAAGGTGGGTGTTATTTCTGTCTTTATCCCACGTATGAAAATGGAGAGACAGAAACATTAAAGAATATATTCAAGGTTACAGAACTAGTAAGTAGTAGGGGCAGAACCAAAGGCACTGAAACTACAGTCCACACTCATACATTAGGCTATGTTGCATCCCACGAATTCTTAAAACTAGCTATTTGATCTTTTCTATTCTCTTACAACCACCATTATTTAGAAAATTCTGTCTTCTGCCTTCTGGCAAACAACATTCAACTGACTTCTGTGTCCTGAACTTTCACATTATATTTAGTCGGTCATTAAGATATAATAAACATACATTACACAAAATATTTCATTGAGACAAAAAGGAAATAGAATAATTTTCCACTCATTTTGATGAAAAAAACAAATACTGAGTGCTTACCAAATCCAAGGCAT